TATGTTCATCATGACTGCTGCACCTTCCCCAAACATAATTTTGCCCTTGCTCTTCCTTCTTCTTGGCATGCCTTTCCTCTCCTTTTTTCCATAGTCAATTCCTATTCAACCTTAAAATCCAGCTTCAATGTTGGCTTCTTCAATGTTGGTGGTGTTACATGCTCATTCTGTGTATTCTCTAGGCCCCTGTGGTTACCTCTGCCCTAGGATTTCCTGCCTGCAATTGTCCTTGCCCATCTCCTTACCTGACTGTGAGCTCCTTGAACCTCGTGGCTTTGTCTGTCAGAATCCCCAGAGTCCATCAGTCCAGCAAGTGGCTCATGGTAAACACTCAGTATCCTCCACGAAAAATGACCTAGAGTGGACAGTCAGTCGGGGGAGACTAGAGAAGGGTCAGCCATTGTTCCCAGTAACTAGGAAGAGAGTGTTATTGTGATAGTTAACACTTGCAATTGGACTACTTTAAACTGTTGAATAAAGTGAAACACATGGGGTCTCAGCTGTGAAATTGCTTTGGGGCAGACACTAGATGGAAATAGCTTGGAGAAATCAAATGATTACAGATAAACTTTATCACAGTAAACTGACAGAATAAGCTACAAGTTATTTTTCGTTTTTCATCTTCTATGTTATATCATAAGAACATTATCTTTCGCAAGTGAATTAAATTTATTTTGTATCCTATGCAATTGTGTGTGTATGCGTGTTTGTGTGTGTGTGGGGGGTGCGTGGGCACGTGTGAAAGAAGGGTAATTTTACAGAGTCACAGCCAATGATGTGCTAGAGATGCTCCTATGGGCTTGTAAGAGCCAATTGTTACATTTTCAGGAGTCTTGCAAGTCCGTTATTAAACACAGCTTGAAATTAGCCAGGGTGGGAGCATTTACATCCGGGAAACTAGCAAGTGCTACAAGTCACAGCTCTCCTCCCCCTGTACCCAGCTCTGGCTGTTTAACATTTACTAGTTTATCACTGGATGCAGTCCTGTTGAACTCAGTATTTCTATGCTCAAAGACTGCACAAACTATTACATCTTTTGTAATCTCATGAGAGATGAAAAATGACCTAGCAGAACCTATCACGTGTGTGAGCAGATGACAGGGAAAATGAAACTGTCCCTTCATTGTATGACCAAAACTTGAAACTTTCACGGTTTTGTGTCACAAACGTATTCTCTATATAGTGTCAATTTGGGGGGGTGGGGGGGGATGTGGTACATTCTACTGAGAGGACCGAAAAGGAGAAAGAGCTATGTTTTTCTGAAGTGAAACTTTTGACACTACGACAGTGCAAGCAATGTATTCTTTACCTTTAAAAAAAACTACAATAAAATGCTAAATGATTCAGATGTCAACTTATTCTTGAAAAACTTATCCGTTCCATAAATATTCATCGAGTGCCTACGATGTGTAGAAGAGGCTATAGCCGTAAACAGGATGAACACAGGTCTGCCCTTATGGAGTTCACAGTAAAACTGGGGAGACAGTAGGCAAATAATTACCTAAATGGTATCACATGTTAAGATAAAATTCAGAGGAAAAAGGAGGAAATACATGTAAAATGAAGCTTAGGCTTTAGGATGCAGTTGGCATTCCCCATGTACGTGTAAAGATGCTCAGGGGAAGTAGATTTTGACATGTTTTAAAAGCAAATGGGAGGCCAAGGTGCCTAGACTATTAGATGAGAAGGAAACTGGTACAATGTGAGGCTGGAGACTTGGGTAGGAACAAGGTCATGGAGGGCCCTTGAGAAGGGTTTAAAAATTTTGGACTTTTTCCTGAGTATAATGGGAGGCCCATAAAGGGTTTTAAACTGAGGAGTGACATGCTTTAAAAGATTGCTGGGAACTGCTGTGTGGAGAATGGATGGTACGGGGGGCAAGGCACAAAAACCATAATGAAAGATGGTGCAGCTGTGAATTGGGACAGCAGGAAGGTGTCTAGGGGAAAGTTAGTGGGATAATTATTATGAGGCCACTTACGCTGGCTGTCCTTTTTAATGACCTGGAAGAAGTGATAAAAATAATTTGATTACTCTTGCAGGCAGTAATAGGGAATTACTCATAAAAGTGGAAAAAGACATAATTTTTAAAGCTCTAGAAAAATTATAACTAGTTAAGAAATAAAACTATATTAATAGTGAAGGTCTGTGTGCACGTACATAACGCATCTAATAATTCGTTGGCTCTCATGGAAAAATGCCTTGTGAACAACAGCACATCTTGTCCAGTGTTGTATTGATTCTGAGCGCTCTCTATTTGGTTCCAGCTAGTTCCTAGTGCTTTTACGTTCTACCTCTGCCAAAATGACTACTGACAATCTGTTTAGTGAGCTCGCAGGAGGATGGCCGTTCATGTTAAAAATTGGGAACAGCCTCACTTCTGCTATGAAAGAATCAAAAGAATCCCCTAAGGTATCCAGTCAGCAAGAAGCTGTATAAACAAGATGCCATCAAGAGTCTGCACAGAACAGAAATTAAAAATAATTATTGAATAACCCAACTGGCCTAGAAAGCTTTATATAATGTCTGCTGCTTCTTATAACGTCGAAGCATGGAAGACTGATGAAATGCAACAATCCAATGTTCAAATCCCCAAAGAGTGAACATTCAGCCTTCATGATGTCCATTGGAGACAAATGGAAACTACGACTTGAATTGCTATGGAAAAAGCATTAATTTAAGTTAATTCATCGAAGAGAATATTCTGTTCCGTCCTTCCAAATGAAAGATCATTTACCTTCTGTTACATAAGTTTAAGTCACACCGACTATAAACTGGCAGCTTCTTGTCTTAATTCCACTTAAACGGAGCAGATGGTCGCTTAATGCAACCCATTTCATTCAGAGTCACCAACAGATGAACAATACGGTTAGTTTGGCGTATAGGGAAATTAATGTGCTGCTGACTAGTCATTAGGTTTGCGACTACAGTTTATTAATTTTGATTTTTATGACGATTACCTCTGTTACCAGGAGAGTAGGGTAAATGCCAGAGTGAGCCGTGTCCATTTCACCCTCACCCAAACTAAAAATATTATTAGTGCTGCTACATTTTCTTTTCCTCAAGTTGAGAGATACATTTAAAGAATTAGGTTATGTCTGAAGATAAATAATATAAACAATTTGTGATGCTGATGGTGTATATGGGATATGATGAGATTAGATGCTTGATTACAAACGTGGCTAATCCTGCACAGTCGCGTGGTTTACAAACAAAGTGAGTTGGGTGAAAGATTTTTTCAAATGCTGTAGTGAATTAGCCTCTTTGGAAAATAGTTTCATTCAGGCTTTGTAGGTGGGAGGCCATGAAATTACTGAATTGTGTCCTTTGGTGAGTTTGTTGGTCAGGACCCTATTGGGGATCTGGTACCTTATAGTGTAACCCAGCGAGCAAGGTGGGGTCCTGGGTTTGCTACCATGAGGGGTACTTTCCAGGTAGTGCTCAGTCTAACTTCTTTATAGTCCTTGAATAAGCTGTGGGAAGGAACAAGGGAGGGAGAAATGGAGGGAGAGGGAGGAAAGAGGAGGCCGGGGAGAGAATTCCTAGATAAAAGACAGCAGCGGACAGCTTTGGAGATTGAGTATTGGAGGAGCGTGAAGGCATTTTAAATCCCATAATGTCTAGGTCTGAGTAGTAGCAGATGGAAAGATACAGAGATAAAGCTCTGAAAATAATATTGGAGATAGTAAACTGAAATGCATACAGGAGCCAAGCAAATAACATAACTGTAAACAGGGACCAGGAGGGTCCTATAAAAGTGTGAAGCAGGCTGCAAGGAAGATATTGGTGTCTTTATTGCCACCAAGCACAACACCCATCAAGTTATGATGCCTTTTAAGACACAATTTGAGCTGAGAAAAAATAACCCTATAAAACACACCGAGGTCGATTTGTGACCTCTAAGATTATGTGCTTAGAGTTTGAACTTGAGCAATTGCATGCAGTAAGAATTTTCTACAATGACTGAGAAAGCCCTGAAACCAGGAATTGTTCTTTCTCATGGAAGCAAGCAAGATAAAAAAAGACTATTTCAGAATCATATTTTAAAGGCATGTGTGGCTAAGAGTTTTTTGTTGTTGTTTTTCAGTAAGTTCCCAAATGTGGGGGGATTAGAGTTAATACCAAGAGTTCATTTTATGTTATTTATTCTCTGTGTGTATGTAGTATATATTTGCCTAAGTCACTGTTTCAGTACACTTTCACAATTCATTTCTCAGCAAGGCATTAGTCATTATCAGCTCAGCCCTTTTCTGTGTAGTGTTACATTTCCAAGTTTAGTTTATTCCCCCATTGTCTCTGATTTGAATTCTTGTGACTTTGCTCTCACTAGTTTTTTGTTTGTTTTGCCTCCAGTTTCTGTTTCCCCTATCTCATCATTTATAGCCACTTCCTTAGAGGGGACCTGGGACTGACCCAGTTGGGATTTCCATCAAGGGGACAGTAGTGGGAATTGAGTATGAGAAGGCAAGACCAGCACAAACTCTCCAGCAAAAGGTGGTCTAGAAATGAAGGGAGTAACTAGGCACATTGAAATATGAGTCTATTGGGGAATGTGGACAGTTAGATATCGGAGAGTCCAAATACCGAGGTCAAAGTGCCAAAGATAGGGTTCAAAGTTGGGGGATGAGTGAAGAATTTAGAGTTGAGTAGAACTAGGTCAGGGGGTGATCATGTGAGGAACATACGAGGACGATCTGTGGTTCATGTCTATTGGTCAATGGCTGTGTGCATGGTGGTTGGAATGTCAGGCTGGGACTGAGACATGATATACATTATCCTCTTCACTATTGTTAAAGGGGACTTTCTAAAACATGAATTGCATCATGTAATTCCCTTTCTACAAACACACTTAGAATTCTGCTCGGAACTGTACTACTTGCCGTAAAGCTGTCTGATGTGGAGTCGACATCCTGGTGTGTTGCAATCAGCTATGTGTGTGCAGTCACATTTAGGTGTGTCTCATGTAATTTATTGCTCATAATAAAGTGCAGGAGTTTGTGAAGCATTTATTTTTTCAGTATGAATCAGAGCAGATCGATTCTCCATAGTTTGTCCGTCTCTCTTGCATCTGAGGTGGTTTCTTGAGCAGAAATGAAAGGTACGGTGTTACAAGTAAGTCTTGGGGAATTGCACATAACCTGAGGCCTGTCTTAGGTAGGCTGCAACCTTCTGCAAGCAACTACCTTTCCTAATGGGCTGATAGTTAGATATTAGAAAAGGTGATTGTGAATTATTATCGTGTTGGGCTTCTTCGAGCCGTGGTATGCCCATAGGAGTGTGTCGTGAACGAGAATGTTATCTGTCACGTCTCTTTTGGAGAAAAACACATTGAGATCTGCTAGCAAAATCTAAGCTTGGTAATTTGAGCTGTCTGGTACAGCTGCATTTTTCTCTTCTCTCTACAGGTGTTTCAGACTCATCATTCTGCTTAGAGTCACCTCTCCATGCTTTCACTTGCCTTTCCTTTTGCCTGGAGTGGTTAATCCTGGGCTGCTGTATTGTCTAACTCGAGAGAGCACAATTTCCATTGTATTCTTGAGTTATCCTTTGGGAAGTGGGAGGGGGGATCGCATTCACACAGATGAACATTGCTCCGGAAGTTGTATTCGGGGGTGTTTTTCATTATGCTTCCTTTCTCTCATAGATCTGTTTATATACATATATATATATATAATATTTATATATATAAATATATATTTATATGTATTGTATATTTATATATGTATATATATAATATACATATATAAATATATATATATTTCCTTTAAAAATGTGTTATTAAAGTCCTCTTCCAAAATTATCATATTAATTATATGTGATCACCTAGCTTTTGAAATAAAAGGTTTCTACACTTTAGAAAAAGAATCTACATGATTGAAAATTTCAGTGATATTACTATCACTTTTGAGCACTGAAGATAAATGCCATAATTTTATCTGATATCAAGTGCTTAATCAGATTATTTCTAGAGAACGTTCCAATTCTTTAGTTCTAGAGAAATTAGATAGACAATAGGGTATGATTCAGTTTGTGCCATAGTGTCATTGCATGGGGAAGATTGAAAGGGGGCCGTGTAATATGAGTGGCATGATATTGTCTAATATACATAGATTTTGGAGCCAGGCAGACATAGATTTGAATTCCCGATAAATGACCTGGGAAATTTACTTAAGCACTCAGCTTGTCAGTTTTGTCAGTTTGTAAAGTGGGAATAACAGTACCTACACCACTGTTAAAGACCAAGCGAAATACCATATGGTTAAATCTCCTGTTGCGCTTGATGCATAGAATTTTAATTTCTGTTCTAAAGTTCTATGAAAGTGACTTAGTTATAAATAAAGCTATTAGGCTTTTGTGTATATGACTCCCTCATTCAAACCTGAATGAAACTTTCTGTTACATGTTTTGCACATAAGGTTCTACCCCCTCCCCCCAAAAGGTTTATTTTTAAGTAGTTACCTGAGTTTAGATTTATTTGAGCAAAACAAGTGGCAGTGATGGGAAATTGAAGTTTACCAAAGACTAATTTGGAAAAAGATGCATAACTCTGGCTCAGGTTGAAAACACAACCGTTTAAAATGCAAACGCTGAAACCATCGGAAAGAAAGCCGAGGTATTTGTAACGCACAATGTTGAAACGGTATATGCTATATTGATTTCACTACTGAGTGGAGGTTTTGCTTTTTGCTTTGCTCTATGTTTTTAAAGGTTTTGTAATGTGAATTATAGATGATACCGAAGTATTTGCTAAGCCCCAAATAGCATTTCTTTCTTTCCATTTGATTTTTATTTTTGTTGGAAATGCATGTTTGATGATGCTAAAACCATACATCTTTTTCAATAGTGGTCTGTTAGTTTTACTTAGTAGTAGCCAGGGCTGACTTTTCCTTTTACAGTCGTTGAATGTTAAACAGCATTGAAAAATGTTAAGTTGTTAGATAACTGACTAGTTTTGTCGGAGCTCCTTTGGGAGGCTGAGAATTAGCCAGGCTTCTCACTCTCCTTTTCACACTCCATAGGGAATACGTTAATTCACTATTTACAGCAATGGTTTAATATTCCATTTCTTTTAATTCACGATTCACTTGGGAACTTGTGCACAAGCCCTGTGTAAGCCGATTTTATCCCATCAGGAATACACACCCAGAGGCACTTGCCCTGGTGTGGTGAGAGTGAATTCCAACGCTCCCAACTTCAGAGCCCTTCATGATACCGGACACATAATAATAATAATAATAATAATAATAATAATAGTAAAATGATAATGATAATAATAATTATAATAATAGCTGGCTCAACAGATGTTTGTGGAATCAATGAAAACTAACCCCCATAATGGAATCAATGAAAACTAACTCCCATAATGCTTTGCTACGATGCTTCTGCTCACAAAACATACAAACTAATTTAATTCAAAGGAGATGGAGAGCAATGTTGTGTATGGGAAATCATGAATCCAGACCCGTTAGTTTTTCTAGTAAGGCTCCTTGATGTTTCTTTCAGGAACAAGTCCTGTGAGATTCTATGACTCAGGAACATGGTGCTTTCCCGGAATGACAAGGCAGCATCAAGATCCTTCTGGGGCTTGCACTCTTTTTTCCTGGAGCCTTGATGTCACTATTTTTTATTCTCCTCATTCTTTCCTGACCCACTCTGTTTTTCTTTTTCTTATTTGGCCTTCCTGTTCTTATATTTCTGTTATTATAAAGATTTCAGATTTTTAAACTTTTATGAAAAAAATCCCACATGGGTACATTAAAAAAAACCATATCATAGCTCTGAGTTTCTCCCATGTTATCCAAAGCCACACAAATTGGTCGTTTTCTTTCAGGTGGATGGGAAGCATATGCTCTGTAGATGGCTACCATTGTTGATCAACTTACTCTGGCCTAGGTATTTTGTACACAATTTCTCTTTTTGTCCTCACCACAAGTCCATGGAACAACTCTGAAGCATTATTATTTCCATTTACGGATGAGAATACAGAGGCTTATAGATGTAAAAGTCCTTTTCACTTGAGGACAATACTTTGGTTTTTAACAGAGATGGAAGGAAATAGAAGCAGACAGACAGAATGCTATGTCCAGACAAAATACTTCAGGACTGGACTCATCGTTATAGTTAACTTTCCATCTGTGATATAAGATGTTTCATTATGAATTTAAATGCATTAATTTTGCAATCCTATAAATATCTCTGAGCCATTCCAGGGGCTTTTGTAGTGGTTTTTATGTAATTCGTTGTTTTAATGTTCACTTCCCTTTCTTCCTGTATCACCACATACTTTCTAAAGTACTGAGGTCTCATCTCAGATGTTATTCCTCAGATCTGCTTTCTAAGATGGCTCTAGACCCCCCCTCCATCATTCTCTATTCCAATGTCCTATTTCACTTTCTTCGTAACTTCGGTATTCAAAATCATATTTTTTAGTCATTTGTATCTCTAACTGAAATGGGAGCTGCTTAGGAGAATGGTCTTTATTTGTCTTATTCATCTTTGCATCCCCAGTCCCTAGAACAGTGCCTGGATGTATTATTGCATATTCTTCAAGATGCAGACTAAGATAAATAGCGTGACTCTGATCCTTAAATAGGCCAAGGCCCCAGGGGCCCCAGTCACAGACAGTGGAAGAGTCATAGCAGCATTCCCTTTTTGCCAGCTGCTGTGTTGTCCTTCCAGCTCAGCCTGCTAAGGTGGGTGTAATTAGCTTTTAGCATCTGTCTCAACAAGTGCCCAAGTCCCAACATGAAGTGATCATTATCTAAGTCCCTACAGGCTTCGCTGGTTTGTAAGACGCCAGAGCAGCCTCAGTAGTTACTCATAACTCCTGGGACATTAAATCAACCTGAACTAATTCTGGGGATTTCTGTTTCAATGTAGGATATTTGTAGATTGCTTTAAAAAGTGATCTAACTCCTGTATCTCTGTAGATGACCACATATACTGGCCCAGATAAAACCCTACCATTGGGCTTCCCTGGTGGCGCAGTTGGTTGAGAGTCCGCCGGCCGATCCAGGGCACACGGGTTCGTGCCCCGGGCCGGGAAGATCCCACATCCCGCGGAGCGGCTGGGCCCGTGAGCCATGGACGCTGAGCCTGCGCATCTGGAGCCTGTGCTCCACAACGGGAGAGGCCACGGCAGTGAGAGGCCCGTGTACCGCAAAACAAACAAACAAACCCTACTATTCACCAGGCACTAGGCTAATTGTTTTAATACCATTTAATTTCATCTTCAAACACATCTAAAAAGAGATACTATTATTATCCTTATTTTTCAGATGAGAAAACTGAAGCTCGGAGAGAATAAGTGACTTGCTTAGGTCTCACAGCTATTAGAGAAGGGATGCAAACCCAGGCTGAATGTTCCCAGCGTTGATACTTACTAATTGGCAAAGATGTGATGCTCCATTCTGATGTGGCCTCTAACCTTTAGGAAAATGGTATTTATGTGCTAGGAACGAGTGCTCAGTCTGAGGATGGGCCTAAGGGACGTTTGCTTAAAAGTTAAGGAAGAAGTCAAGTTTTAAATCATCATATTTAAGTCCTAAAAAATGAAAGTCTTATGCAAATCAATTTTTGAAAAGAGTTCATCTTTCCTGATTTGAATTATATATGTACTTTGGAGACAGATGGACTTGGGTTCAAAGCCTACCAGCCATTTAATAGCTTTGTAACCTTCAGTAGTTTTTTCTTTTATCCTCTTAAGACTTAATGTGGCTTCCAATACCAATCTTGCAAAATTTTTGCAAGGAGAGCAGCTAATTCAGTGCCTGGCACATAGGATAAGGCACAAAAGATGATTTCCTTTTTTAAAAAATTGCTTTTACTGAGGTAAAATTGGTATATAACATTATATTAGTTTCAGGTGTACAATACAGTCATTGAATATTTGTATACACTACAAAGCCATCATCGCAATGAGTCTACTTACCATCGGTCACCGTACAATTGATTCCCTTCATCCATTTCAACCACTGCCCTACCCCTTCCCCTCTGACAACCGCCAATCTGTTCTCTGTATCTATGAGTCTTGTTCTGTTTGTTCATTTGTTTTGTTGATTATATTCCACATATGAGTGAAATCATATGGTATTTATCTTTGAGTTCCTTTTCTTTAAGTATTGTAGTTGGGAATTTCTTGATTGTGAAATTTTGTTTTTCCCTAAAGTTAATGTTCTCCCAGTATTTATGTTAAAATTTTATTCCTATTCTTTTTATTTCTTGTCCCAGGTACTGTTTAAGAAATTAAGTAATTTCCTAAGATTTATGTATCACTTCTCTGGAAAGTCTCTCGGCCCTCATACTAGCTGATAAAGTTCACTTTTTCTCTTCATTAAATCTTCTCAGACCTCTCCCT